TTGTATCTCTCTATCTCCCCTCTGATCAATGTTTATAGACACTTTTGTCTTTTGTGACAGTAGCAGCTTCTGAATTTACACCGGCATTTCTGACTGTCAACCAGCAAGTATGAGGAGAGAAATAGGTGGAATTCGGTACTTCAGTAGGCGGGGCTGGTTGGGATTTCAGAGCAGCGGCATTGTGTTGTCAGCTCAAACAGGAAGTTAGAGGCTCACTGGTTTTCTGGCAGATCAGCAGTTATGTATTACGGAATACAACATGGGAAATGGTCTTGTATTGCAGAGATTGTCCAGACATGGACTGTAACCTCTGTAACTTTGTTCTGTTTGGGGAGCAGATAATAACACACATTCAGAACCTCCTCATGCGCTGTGCTCACCATAAGAGTTACAGATGATGTGTGTCTCTGGGTAGGACTTCCACAGGATGCGGTCACACCAAGAAGGGACATTTGTGCGAACCTGAAACACAGCCAGAAAGAAAGGAGACTAACAGGGGCCGTAAACATAAAGCACAATTGTTATAATATAAGCATTACCTCAGTCTCCCCTCCCCCAGTGATCAGTCTGCTACAGGCAGGAGGAAGCATTTCCTCAGTCTCCCCTCCCCCAGTGATCAGTCTGCTCCAGGCAGGAGGAAGCATTTCCTCATCTCCCCTCCCCCAGTGATCAGTCTGCTGCAGGCAGGAGGAAACATTTCCTTAGTCCCCCCCTCCCCCAGTGATCAGTATGCTGCAGGCAGGAGGAAGCATTTCCTCAGTCTCCCCTCCCCCAGTGATCATGCAAGTAATTGTTATTGCTTTATAAATGATTAAAAATGACTTACCCCCGTGGGCTTATGTTTGTGCCACACATAGGTGTCCCGGGAGCCCCTCTCATAGCGGTAGGTGGGGGGATAAGAAATTTCTTCCTCGCCTATAAAGAAATATAATTGGATTAGTGGGGATCACCATACCACCGACCAGCAATGCGGGGATGCTGAAAGGGGACAAAATGAGATGACATCGCAGCAAACCAATGCACGTAATGCGCGTTATCATGCGTTGCTGCAGTGTAATGGCCCCTCATGTTTAGAGACGTTGGCATTACTGTCACAGCTGACACTGCCAGGTAACACAGGGAGGGGTAACCGGGGGCCCCTCTCAGCATCTTGCTATGGGGCCCATGATCTGCACCAACACTCCTGCCCGGAAGACTGAAGGCGGGGCCCTAGGGGCGCAGCAGAGAGAAGAGTCACGACGAGTATTCTGTGTGTATCTCAGGGCCGGGATATTGTCAGTAATCTGAGTTACTTTTGCTGCATGAATCTACATATCATGTGTGATTGGATCTCCAGGTCACATGACTCTTCTGCCTCTGCCCCGCTCTACACATGCTGAGATCAGATGTCAGCCGTGCTGGGGGGGTGCAGAGTGCAGAGTGCAGAATGAGAGAATGCGGCTGTACATATATCGTATATACTATAACTCTGCAATCACAGGGGGGCGAGTCAGACCTCTGCAGAGAGACCACTGATTCCACACAGACAGCAAGGGTCCGCCTCTGTAGCATGCTGGCAGCGGAGAGGATTTTCTACTCAGGCTGCGGCTGCTTCCTAAAGAAAGCCAACTGAGATATTGTAGACGAAATGTATCGAGCTGATCAAACTGAAAGTTCAGGTGGGTGAAGGTGAGCGAAGTCTTATGGTTTGTATTCTGACTAAAGAAGCCCGTCCCCCGCCAGCATGCTGCAGAGAAGGAGCCTTGGCTCTCTGTGTGGAAGCAGTGGTCTCTCTGCAAAGGTCTGACACCCCCCCCCCCCCCTACATCCACAGGGGGCGCGCTGACACGCCGCTCTCCACTGCTTCCACACAGAGAGCAAGACTCCTTCTCTACAGAGAGGCCGCTGCTTCCACACAGAGAGCAAGACTCCTTCTCTACAGAGAGGCCACTGCTTCCACACAGAGAGCAAGGCTCCTTCTCTACAGAGAGACCACTGCTTCCACACTGAGCGCAAGGCTCCTTCTCTGCAGAGAGACCACTGCTTCCTCACAGAGAGCAAGGCTCCTTCTCTGCAGAGAGACAGCTGCTTACACACAGACAGCAAAGGCTCCTTCTCTGCAGAGAGACAGCTGCTTACACACAGACAGCAAAGGCTCCTTCTCTGCAGAGAGACAGCTGCTTACACACAGACAGCAAAGGCCCCTTCTCTGCAGAGAGACAGCTGCTTACACACAGAGAGCAAAGGCCCCTTCTCTGCAGAGAGACCACTGCTTCCACATAGAGAGCAAGGCTCCTTCTCTGCAGAGAGACCACTGCTTCCACACAGAGAGCAAGACTCCCTACAGAGAG